ACCGCTTACAATTGCTCCAAAAACAGGCAAGTTTGCCAATTCCGCAACTATATTTGCGGAATACAGAGCAGTTTGTGTAGTCCGCAAACAAATAAAAAGACATGTGTATAGTTACATTGAGCTGTTGCGCAATCCGCAACAGTAAGCGGAATCCGCAAATTATAAGTGGAATCCGCAATTTGTAAGTGAAATCCGCAAATTGTAAATGGAATCCGCATTTTCTTTGCGGATTCCACTTAAGTTTGCGAATTCCACTTACCATTTGCGGATTCCCTTTACATTTTGGAGAATCCACTTACAGTTGCGGAATCCAGAACAACTAGCTATATTTGCTTGTTGCGGAATCCGCAACAATTAAATGTGCCGACAAAATTTATCTTACAGATACTTGTACGCGGAATCCACGAAACCTTTGCAAGTGGAATCCACTTACATTTTGGAACATGATTAAAGATTTGTCTCTGGAATCTAGGAACATACAGACACAAAATTGTGCGCCTATCCAGTGCACATTTTGGCCTCGTAATGTAACTTCGCATACTTTATCAATTACTTCGCAACCGAAAATTGTCGGTTTTTTGCCAGTGTAACTAAATGACAAATCCATATGTCAAGAAATGGTTTAACCTACAAGAAATGGAAAAATCTTTCATGGAATCCGATCAGAAAAAAGTGTGAATCCGAAAAAAGAATACAAAGAAGTCCATTTTTTCTGTTCACTTTTTGTCTGTGCTTAATGGTAGTCTTAGTCACTGTTTTCTGGGCATTGCTAACAAAGCAGGGCATTGCTTGAGTGATTTCCAAATTTCAGTACAGAGTTAGTCTCAAACGTCGAATACAAAAAACGGTGGAGAATCCTTGGCATTTTTTTATTCAACATTTTAGTAAAGGATTTATCCATACCATGGTCTGGCTTCCTCGCCTCATCTTCAACAAGTAACTCCAGATTTTCCAAATTTCCAATGAAACAAATTATTTGCCGTTGTTGATTATCCCCAAAAATGGTTTTATCTTTTTTTTCCCGTAGTCCTTCTTTTGTAATGTTATAACTCCCTTCTGTTTGTTTGGTTGCACAATTCCGTCTGCAGTAAAAGAAAATTCTATAAAAGGTTATCAGTTTCTTTTTTCAATTACACACAACTAATCCGGTAAAATAAAATTACTTGTTTTGACCTTCAACGAAAGTTTTAAAAAATGTTGTTTGTAGCATTATTTCATGAACTGTTTTTTTTTCGGGTCGACGTTTGCGTTTTGTTTCCAGACTATAGTGACAAAATATCGGCATGCCTAGACTTTCGCGACTAGACGCTCGTATTTTCAAATTTGTACAACAAAAACCTGTCAGTTCCAGATTTTTGATCTTATGGAACAAATTCAAGCTTATCGACAAGGGAAGGCATGGGCGAATGACACAGCGCAGGAAACGACACTGCAGAAAATGACACTAGCACAGAATATCACACAGAACAAAAGTTACTTCTAATGATGTTTGATGTTTCTTAGTTCAGAATACTGTTGTCTCAATTTCCTTAAATTTTGTGTCTCCGTTTTTTTATGTGAGATGATGTGTAGCATTTTGAAGTCGGGCCAATTTTGTGTTTTAACCAGGCCCGCAAATTTTTCAAAATTTTTCGGAAAAACGCCCCCCCCCTCCCTTAGAAAAATTTTTGAGCACGCCACTGGTTGGTTATGTCCAAACTTTTCGAGCAAAACGAGACACATCCCGTTCTCCAGTTGTTCGCGACTCAATTTCCAGGTTTTGGCGACCAAAGGGAGAAAAACTTGGTTTTCCAGACTTTTGCGACCCAGTTTGCGACTTCAGGTCTATAGTTTTGTGGCATAATATATGGTCGTGACCAGGGGCGGATCTAGAATTTTCTCGAGGGGGGGGGGGGCGGATTTTCACAAAATTTTCCAAAATTTTGACGACCTTTTTTTTTTTTAGGTCGACCAAATTTATTTTTCGAGCTCTCCCAAAGCACTGTTTTGCCCCTATTTTTGCTAAATTTTCTGCGCCGCAGGCAAATTTTTGAAAAAACAGTCAAAAAAGCCTTTTTTGGGCACTTCTTGAAAAATTTTTATCAAAAAAACCGCGTTTTTTTGGCGCGCGCTCCCCCTTAAACTTAGTATATATTGGCGCCCAAGGCGCCTTTAGAAAAATTTTAGGGTCGGTCGGCCAAAAATGGATTTCTGAAAAAGTATTAAAGGGGGGACCCTTTGGGTCGGTAGGGGGTCGAATCCCTGAGAGGGGAGGCGTCCGCCCCCCCCCCCCCTAAATCCGCCTCTGCATGGGATAACCAAATGATACAATCGGGAAGAAATTGAACTCTTTTTATAAGTTAACGAAAAAAAGAATATAGCCAACAGACAGTTGGAACAGAGTCAATGAAAGCAAGGAAACAGAAATAAGTGACTTGTTTTTGAAAAAACTTCAACCTTCGAACTTTCATGATTGGCACAAATTAACAAAATTTGAGAAAGCTGCAACTGGATCAATAGGCAAAGTTTTTATTCAGCTGAAATTTGTAAAATAACATCCAATTCCGAAATTTGAAGTCAATCACGCTTTTCACGATATTTGACAATGGAGTTTGCCTTCCTTATAAAAAAGGAAATGAATTGAACTTAAAAAAAATTGAAAATCAAAACGCGAAAAAAATGAATTTGAGCGTGAGCAAAAATTAAGACTTTTTCCTGAAAAAAAAACGCGTCAAAATTACGTCTATACAAATTAAAAAGAAAATCACTTTTACACTTGATAGTTTTATTTTATTTAATACAAATTTTATATTGAAAAAAAAAACTCAACTATTTTTAAAGCTTTTTTGTACATTTGTAGCCCCGTATTGCATATCAAACATCATGTTGAAGCTGTACTTCGCCAACACAAGCAGACAATGGTAAAATGAGCTTTAAAATTGTAACATAATTCTTTTGAAGCAGTGAATACGCTTTAAAAATAAAGGATAAGTCGAATGAGGGCTTCAAACAGCGCACCGCCGGATTATAAAGCAGTCATTTTTCCGAATGCGCTAACTGTCCAAAACTTCAGTAAATAATCATACCGCCCCCCCTCCCCCCCCCCCTAAATCCGCCCCTGGTCGTGACAAAGCAATTTGGGCTGACAACGGCGCAAATTTTAAAGTTTGCCCCGTATTGCATATCAAACACCATGTTGAAGCTGTACTTCGCCAACACAAGCAGACAATGGTAAAATGAGCTTTAAAATTGTAACATAATTCTTTTGAAGCAGTGAATACGCTTTAAAAATAAAGGATTAGTCGAATGAGGGCTTCAAACAGCGCACCGCCGGATTATAAAGCAGTCATTTTTCCGAATGCGCTAACTGTCCAAAACTTCAGTAAATAATCATACCGCCCCCCCTCCCCCCCCCCCCTAAATCCGCCCCTGGTCGTGACAAAGCAATTTGGGCTGACAACGGCGCAAATTTTAAAGTTTGCCTTAAATCCCAAACCCCGACGCGGGTTAGTCTTAATAAGATACGAAAAAAGCAAAATTCGTTCATTATTTTTCTTGCCTTTGAAAATTACGTCAGCAAAAAATTTTGTTCAAAATTTCTTCATCTCAAGAGTTTTCCACAGTATGAAAAGACATTTAAAAACCCTTGAATTATTCAAGTAGCTTTTATTTATAATGGCTTTCAAACTTTTATTCTTTTTGTTTGTGATGAAGCGTTCAAAAGAAGTTGGCGCGTAATTTTAATAGAATATTCCCAGATGGCCCAAAATTTGATTGAAAAATTGATCCATATTGAAAAAGTGGAAAAAATGAAAATTGATCCGTCCATTTTTTTATATCCGGTTTGCAGTTATATTTGTTTTTGGTTAACTTGCGATTCAACAAGAAACCATTAAGCAAAAAGGGTTTATAAGTTCAACAAAAAGGGTTTAAAAGTTCATAATTTTGATGACCGTCATTTTAAATCTGAATCTTTCCGGCCGGTTTTTCTAAACCTTCAGAAATTGATATGGGTTTGACTAATTTAGTGTAATAATTCATTTTTTTCTAGGTAACATAATATAATCTTGTTGAATAAAGTTTGTTTTTGGGCACGATTCATAATAATATCTTTGATAAAAAACAATTTTGCAAAGATTTCGATCATCTGTTGGTCTAAATTGCTATTCGAACTCCAGAGGATTATTTATTATTTATATTCACAGTAAATATGAGGTGGAGTTATGGCCCATAACATCTATTTGGTTCCAAATCTAACAATGATTGTCAAAAATCTGACCCCTAAACTTCCGCCTGATGACAAGGTGCTTGATGTTTCAACAAACATGTCAAATTACCTCTCAAACCTTGTTTGCTGGTGATTATTTATCATAGGTTTCAATTCCAGAGTTTTATTAAACAATTGAGTATGATGATACTTATAATTGTTATACTACGCATCATTTTAAAATTAAAAATATGATGCTGCAAGTTATTATAATTACATTTTAATGAAGTTATGCCTGTCATTATTTATCTCTTCAACTAATCTCTTTAAAAGTAAATTTGCGTTTCTGCTTAAGTTTCAGTAAATTTGCGCAGCTTGTAGTTATTAGATACTGTAAAATAACATCAGTTAGAAAAGTATGTCTTCGAATGCTGATTACATACAAATGCACTTGCGTGAAAAACCCGATAACAACGGAAAAATATTGACGGATTTAGAAATTCTTGAAACGAAATTTGAACCCGAAATTTCGGGCTCAAAAAAGGCAAAAAGAAAAACTTTATCGGAGTCCGCAAGTCAATTACGCGACGCAACAGTTCCCCAATTTGCCCGTGAACACAAAATCGTCAAACTCATTTGGCTCCTAATTTATATTGGACTTTTCTTAACATTCTCCTACTCATTTTACGAAATTACAACAAAATACTTTAGTTATCCAACTTTGATCGAGATTGAAATTGTTTCCAAACCCAGGCTTGAGTTTCCAGCTGTAACCGTTTGCAATGAGAATCCGGTCAGAAAATCTCTAATTGGGAGGATTAAAGAGTACAGCGACTTGCTTATTCTGGACGACTATGTCAAACAATCGATGTTGACGTTCGCACAAACTGCTTTTGATGAAATGGAGTATACCAACTGTCAAGAAGGTAAAAAAATCTCAAAAAATATATTTTTTTGAAATTTGTTTTTTAGTTTAACGCCCCAATGAGCTGCTTTACGTAAGCTAACGAGGCTATGGAACATGAAACGTACGAAAGTAATATAGCTGATTTAGGGAAGGGGTCGGAAATCCTCAAAGTCCCTAAGGACCTCGACATCCGCATCACTGCTCTCTCGTACTATTTTGCCGACGTTTTACATGTATGGCCAACTATTAATATTTTTAAGGAGACCTTCGGCCCTAGTAAAAATAAAATTATAGTAATTATTGTAGCAAAAACCATGCAAATTTTTTTGAATTTTTCTACAGAATAACCAAAAACAGTTTATTTGTCGCAATACTTTACTGAAACGATTTTCGGGTTTCACGAAAAAAAAATAATTGAGCTAAAAAGTATTGAAATATCAACCCATTTCGAGAAATTTTTTTTTCCATCTGTAGGTTTTTTGTAATAACTGCTATAAAAAAATGATATTTCGTTCGATATTGGAAAAATTTGTCATGTAAATAATATGATCAAGAAAAATCGATTGATGCGCAACAGTTTTTTTTCACAAACATATAAGTTCAAAATAACAAATTTGTCAAACACACATGCTGCTACACAATAACTTTATCAAAAAAGTTAGAAATGAAAAAAAACTTCTAGTGGCATGTAATTATACAATTACAACTTGTGTAAAACAATACTAGTATTAGATATAAAAATCATCTCAAAAAAACTAATGAATCTATCAATAGAAATATATTCATATATGTCTATCAAAAACTATTAGGATCAATTTTATTTTTTTTGGTATAAAATTACCTTTCCTCAACTTAACATTTAAAATTTTACATTTATTATAATTACTGATGTTCTAGTCAAATGCTCCGACTACCTTCTAAGTTTTATAGAAGAAAACTGGAAAATGCTATGAAAAATGACGTTTTCTTCGTAAGTTTTTTTTTGTTGCAAATGATCCGCTCCCCTCCTCCACCGATTTTTCAAGTTTAAAGTACTCTTTTTACCACATCGCAAAGTAAAATATAGCATGCTTCAATTAAACTTGGAGCAATTTCTAAGACGTTTTCTATCTCTGCTTACACACTATTAGCTAGATCAAATCTCGCATCAATAATCCCAATTTGGCCAAATTGGTAATCCTGAAACCCTCATAACTTAACAAAAAACAACCACAGGCGAAAAGTTTTTCCATATTCAACTCGGAACAACAGTACTTTTTGAATGATATTATAACAGTCCTTCAAAAAACGTTAGTGAACAAATGAAATTTTGTCAGTAGAAAGAAAAACTATTCCGAGCACACATATTCTGCAAATTTCTTCAAAAGTCTCAGAAAATCAAAAATTCATGGCATGCTTCTGTGGATTTGATTACTTAACCATTTTACTGGTTTTGCTTCTTGGATTGCAGGTGTTTCGTGAGAATAATCTGCAAAAAGTTTCAGTTCTAGCTTAAATAAATCAAACCAGCGGTGCATTGTGCTTGAGATCAATAATTTTATATATTTTGGTTGCAAGTTATTCGGATGCTCTGAAATTACTCAAATCAATTTTCTTGAAGCCGAAAAAAAATTTGAAGTTCTTTTTTCTTTTGATACTACACTCGATAAACTGAGCGTGTTTTTTGAAATACCTGGTTTTGCGCGAGAAAAACTAAAAATTTTATGAGGGGCAGAAACAAAAATGATGCAGTTCAGATAATCTTAATTGTTATAATAGGACTGCGATTACTTTCTTTGTACTCCGACTATCGAAGAAGTAATGGAGCAATTGATTGTATTCGTATGAGTAGTACTTTGTATGAGAAGAAACGTCTAAATTTACTGTCTGTTTTATGTGAAAAATGTATCATTTTTCATGACCAAAAATTTCTCAAAAACTTCCTGGAAATAATCATGTCTTCGCTTAGAGTTCTGTCGGTTCGATCTTTGAAAACTGAAGGTTTTTTTTTGTGTGAAAGTATTGATTTTCCTGAGTTAAATTTTAAAAAAAAATGCGGTAGAGTTTCAGCGAATAAAAATACATTTTTGATCGAATGATTTTCGTACTACAACACTACAAAACTATAAACTTGATTTTAGAAACTTAAATGCTCATAGAATGCTAAGCACCTATGAGTTTTCCTGAAAGTTTACCTTTATGAATTTACTATGAGTTTACCCAGTTTACTTGAAAAGTTGATAATCGGATCACGCTATTATCAACATAACTATGGGAGGCTGGCGCGTTGGTTGGATGCTAATTTTGTTCCAACTACTATTTTGCTTGCTTTTTTAGGTACATAAAACGAAAAAAAATTTAGTCTAGCGGAACAAATTGATGGATTATCTGCGATTTACAGGAACCACTTTTTGTTATTTAGGTTATCATCAATGCAACAACACCCGTGTGTGTATTCCTCCAGCTTGGATTTGCAACCAAATCGACAATTGTGGCGACAACTCGGATGAATCAGACATGCTCTACAACTGCACAGAAAAACTGAAAGAGCAAAAATCAGGTATTTAATATACTTTTTTGTTAATATCAGCCAAAAAATTAAATTTATTTTTTGTTTCAAATTTACCGAATCGTAAAAATGAATTAAAAAAGAAGTAACATCTAAAAAACTACAAACCAAGGCATTGAGTAAAAGCTGAATCCAAAAAAATATATATTAAAAAAAATCTTAAAGCAATTTAAAAACAGTTGAAGTTCAAAACAACGAAAACATGATTTTTAAGAAGAGCAGAAGTCAGGACTCCACGGGCGGATTTAGGGTGGGGGGGGGGGGGAACGCCCTTTTCCTTTCTCAGGGATCCGGCTCCCTGCCAACCAAAGGGTCCCCCCCCCTTTGAACTATTGTGAGTTTTATAATTGTTTGACGTGTTATTACGGCTAAATGCATTATGTTGTGCTGCTGTACTGTATGAAGAACAAATCTGTTCACAGTGGTCGATTTGTTCACAACGCCAAATTTAATTGCATTTATGACAACGTAAAATAGACTTTTCAAAATTGAATTTGAAAAGGGGAACTGGAAAAGAGCCCCATTTTTGGCTGAGGGACCCTAAAATTTTTCTAAAGGCCCCTTTGGCGCCAATATATACTAATTTTAAGAGGGAAGCGCGCGCCGAACAAACCTAATTTTACGGTGAAAATTGTCCAAAAAAAGCCTAAAACCCCTGCGGCGCAGAAATTTTGGCCAAAACACGGACTTTTTGCTGCTTCGGGAAAGCTTGGAAAAACAATTTGGTCAACCTAAAAAAAACACAGACCCCCCTCGAGAAAATCCTATGTCCGCCCCTGCAGGACTCTATACTCTTTCTGTTGCTTCTTTTGTTGGAAAACAAAATTTTTGTTTTGTTGCAAAAACTTGAAAAAGTATTTGTTGCAGAAATTTAATACTTAAGCAGAATATAATCGTAGAAACTGCAAAAAGCGAAAAAAAACGAGAAGCATTTTTCAAGTGAGAAGCGACTAGACACTCGGTTGAAATGGAAAAAAAACGTTTTTTCTTTTTCAGCCAAGATTTAAATGAACTAATCATTTGACATCTTACTAACGCACAATCACAAATCTTACCATTAGAAAAAACTATAAAAAAAGAATCTCACAATTGAAAAACAAGAAAAAAAAAAACAAACAAACAAGTTCAGAAAACGATTGAGGGTGATGACACATTTTGTTATAGAAGACTCAGACTATGAAGGAGAGGGGGGAAATATATGTGCGGAGGGGTTCTACAAGTGCCCAGAAGTCGAGCAGTGTGCGATTGCGTGTGATGGAATACCAGAATGCATGAGTGGAGGTAAAAAAAAACTTATCCGGACTGCTTTTACTGGGGGGTGGGGGGGGGGGGGGGGTTGGGGGGTTGGCAAAAGTTTGTTATTGAACTACAGAGACTATATAGTAATTAATAATTATCGGTAGAAAAGAACTCTTAGTTTTTTAGCCGTTTTTTGTCAAGTTGTATGACAGTCAATGCGTTTTTATCATTTAATCTATGACAATTATCATCAAATACAATTTTCAATTATTTAATCTAATAAATTATCAAGTACATAGTTTTTGATAAAAACGATTTTAAGGCTTGGAAATTTTTGAAACATAAGGTTGTACGTACCACCTTGAAATGAACGAATTCATAAAAAACCTTAATGGTATAAGAAAAATTTTGTTGATAAAAACTACTCTTAGTGTTTGCTGTTCAGGCAAAATATGGGCGAACAGCGGACTCAATTCAGTCTTTTTCTGGAAATTTGGTTTTTCGCTAACGTTTTTCGTTATTTTTACTTGTGCTACTTTTTTTGAAACCATATCCACCCCCTCCTATAAATCTAACGGATTAAGGTAATAAGTTTTCTAACCTATCCCGAAAGACCGAAGAGACACCAGCAAATTTTTTTTGGGGCTGGGGTGGTTTTTTGAAAAAAAAATTGAAAATTTGAAAAATTTGACCCGCTCCTTAGCACGCTACTGACCCGGATCAATCCAAGCATAACCGATTTAGAATTTGATGACTAGCAGCCATCGCAGGTAATTTTTGAGCTATTTCTTCTAATTCGAATGAGTTATATTGCTTTTCTTATATGAGTTATTGCTAAAAGTTAGCATGCTAAAGTCCTATTTGCCGTAATTAAAAGTTTAAAAAAAAAACAAATGAAATCAATTGTTAGATTTTTTTGTTTGTTAACTGCTTTGACTAATTTACTGCGGTCGGAAATTCTGTGCTACTCGCAGAGCGACCAACCATTCTTGTTTTTATCTAATAATCTTTGTTCATTTTTTAGCTTTCGACGAGTCCGAAGAAGCAGGGTGCCAACCGAGTTCATGTGGTGAGTACTTAATAGCAACAGACCAACTTCAAAACTTCACCTCGCCAAATTACCCTTTGGATCACCCTCCGTTCTCAGACTGTGTTTGGATCATAGATTCGAACAGCACCAGCAAACGAATTATGATCACATTCGAAGATCTCGATTTAGAACAAAGCTTTCAGGACGATTGCGACGACTATCTTGAGTTTTTCGACGGAAGCTCAACAAAATCACAGCGGCTTAAAGTTATGAAAGGATTCAGAGTTTGCGGCTCAAAAATGCCGAATCCTGACTCATATTTGTCAAGTGACTCTGTAATGATTGTTAAATTTCATTCAGATTCTACTCAGAACAAAAAAGGTTTCATGCTTAGTTATAAAAGTGTTCCGAAGAAATCAAAACGACATGTTGGCCCCGAGATTAACAATCAAAAATCTACTCCAAATCGCGACAACAGTCTAAATCGAATAGAATCAAGTGACTTTCTAGAGAAATCTCGAAAGATGAAAGGTTTGTACAAGAAACAAGATGACGATGAAGATAAAACGCTCAGAAAGGACCGTCAAATGATGACAAAAAACAATGAACGGTTTCGAAGGAGCGAAGATGTTCTAAACGTAACTGAACCTATTGATTACGACTATGATAGCGATTACCAAGAAGAAAATTATGATAACGGTGATTACGATACCAACAACGATTATATTGATACCAATGATTACGATACCAACGGTGATTATAACGATACTGATGATTACGATACCAACGATGATTACAACGATTACGATTATTATCATGATTATGATTATGATTATGATTACGATTACGATTACGACTACGATTACGATTACTCGAGCGACCAGTATTATAAATACACTTACGGCGACTTTTTCAATTTATACAAGGCATCAGTAGTGCCTGACTATTCTGATTTCAAACGGGCTGCTTACTTTTACCAGCGTATTGTATACCCTAACGGTCATCAATTGAATGACTTCATTGTTCAGTGTACATACGATGGCAAAAGATGTCTGAAAGAGGGAAAGGATTTCTTGCAATATGAAGACCCACTGTATGGTAATTGTTTCAGTTTCAACTCAATCAGGTGAAAAAAAATTGATTTCTTTTTATTAACATCTGACTTATTACTTCAAGAGAAATTTGTACAGCAAGAAGCTAGAGGCTCATCTGATCTATCATTTTCTTGGACTGACCAAATTCATTTTCCGGGTAAAAGCAGTAAAAATAGTAAAAGAAGTAAAAACAGGTCACAAATGAAGCTTTGTGGCTTACTTGGAAGAGTTTTTTGTTCCATGAAAATTGGAGTTTTTTGTTGTGCGTTTCAAGCTAAAATTTAGCGTACTGGCGACGAATTACTCTCTATAAAAGTACCGTAAAAGGTAACCTTTGGGTGGTCTGTAGCTTTAGTCATTCGCTTCCCTCTCACTTATCCAAAAAAAAAACAAAAAAAAAAATTTTTTCAAAAATTTTTTTTTTGCTATTTGGACAATGCTAAGTGTATGCTAAGTTTAAATTAGATAGCACCATAAAATCAATAATACTCATTTTTTTTTGTTTTTGGTCAACAAAAATGTTTCAGGAGCCAGGATGATAACAAAACTCTCAGAATGCGCAGCAGTAGCAAAACCGGCCACGAATTTGGTCTGAAATTGACTCTCTTCCTCGATTACGCCGAGTACATTGGTTTGTTTGCGCCAAACGTAGGAGCCAGAGTGTTAGTTCACGATCCTCGAGTTCTACCCGACTTGCAATCCGAAAGTTTCTCAGTTGCCGCCGGTGAGACCACATTTATAGCTGTGAAGAAAGAAGTTGTCGAAAGAAAAGGCGGTTATTATGACAATTGTACCAAAACGTGGCCAAAATCTCTAAAACTTTCAGAGGAAACTCAGAAAAAATGGCCGGTTTATACACAAGAATCCTGTCTGAAAGTTTGTTTAACTAACAATTTGGCCCTGGAATGCGAATGTACGGATAGTTATGAAACTGATTATAGTACTGACAGTAATATTAATAATAACTCTTGGTATTACTGTCGCAATACCAATAGAAAAGAAAGTGAATGTCGCAAAGGAATTTACAATGCGTTTCGTCATCACAATTTAACATGTGATTGTCCTGCGGCCTGCTACACGAGCGAGTTTTTATTGACACAATCTAGATCGCCCTGGCCTTCTAAAAACTACAGCCCTTATTTCGCATCCAAAATGCTGAAATCGAACTCAAATAGAGTCGTCTCCTATATGCGAAGTTTGATTACAACAAATAACAGTGAGAAGGCAATGCAAGAAAGCTTCAAGGAAAACTTCGTTCGACTGGAAATCTTCTATGAGGCGCTCAATTTCAGAAAAATATCGGAATCAGCAGCTTATGATTTGTCATCGCTGGTTTCAGACTTCGGCGGTAATATAGGTCTATGGCTGGGTTGGAGTATTTTTGCGCTTTTTGAGCTAGTAGAGTTTACTTTCCATTGTTTCGAAGCCATTTTGCATAGATAATGAACTTTAAAGGAAAATATTTTATTTTGATAAAACTTTTATTATGAGTTTCATTGTGTGTTTTTCATAATTTGTGTTACTCTAGTAAATTTTTAAAGACTGTCTCAAATTTGCGTACTTATTCGAAAAATATGATATAAAATTCAAATATTATTTAAATTCTACAAGCAAAGTAAAATAAACAAATTTTGTTTGCAGTTTTAAGTACAAATTTTGACGCGTTTTTCATTAATATGCAATCGAATATTTTATAAAAAATGTCACCAAGTTCATAGCCAATTGAATCTTATCTGCAATAATTTTGTCAATTTTTCACTTTTCGAAAAAACTGATGGAAGTTTAATGTTGGGGTGATTCATTCGTATAAGTGGATTTTTTTACTAGCAAATTTGAAAAACGTTTTGTTTTATCTTTTAAAAATACATACTCTTAGCTCAAGTCTTAATAAATTTTCCTATTGGGATAGTTATTATGAACATTTGGGTGTTTGTACAAAGCGAGGTTTGTATATCAGGGCTGGTTAAAACGCAATTAAATTCCAGTTTTGATTTAACGCCTTGCATCTGCCATTTAAGCATCTGACTCAGATGTCATACCGAATTGAAACTCAGACAAAATTGATGACTCGAGTGCTAGTCACAGTTCTGATTTCATTTCCTGTATGATTGTAAATGATAATAATCATAATAATAATCATAATAAATTGTTTTCAGGCTAGTTTTTCAGTAATGCTGCTTGTTATAAACCGCATTTACAACCATTTAACAAACATTGGCCTGAGAGATAGTCATGAGACCTTCTGGTCTATTTTCAGACTTCTCTAAGCGGAAAAATTAAATTCTTCCCCTAATAACCTCAGGTATAATCGGTATCGACCCGAACGCAAAAAAAGCATACAAACACGAGCTTCCTAAAAAAGAAAAAAAGAGGAAAAATTAAAAACAAACTGTTGTGATGTTATTCTGAATTTCCTAGTATATTGTGTTCAATAGATCTTCATTGTAGATGAAGTTATCTAAGAAAAGATGGTTTTTTCTGTTTGTGGCTGTTTTAGACATTTTCTGGGCTTATTTCATAGTTAAAGATGCAACTAAATGTTTTCTTAATCTTTTTCTGCAGCGAGTTTTTTAATTTTAAAATTTGCACCAGACTTTAAATTTTTCGAGTTTCTTCTTTGTTTTGATATTTCACTCAGGTCTTCATCAGTTGCAACGTTGCGTAAAGTATCTACTGGGAAATTTTCTGGATTCTTTTATTTAAGGCTTTAAAAATTTTATATATGTGAAGCTCAGTAGATATATACATTTTGTGTGTTTCCTGGGCTTAACTTTTTGCGCCGAATCTATGCTTAAAGAAAAATATTCTGTATATTCTCTTGAGATCATTATCCAGTTGTTTGTTGTTGTTTCATAGCAAATAGATGCTCCAGTCAGATTTCATTATTTTTACGGTTGAATGCGACTGCATCCCCCCACACGCCATTCAAAATACGAAAAGATAGAATTTGTTCCTTGTAACAAATCATCTATGGCAAATAGGCTTCGTTCAACCAATTTGGAACGATTTATAAGACGGATTAAATCTCCGCTTACGCGTTAATAGCGTTATTTATAACGCGCGTATATTGTCCTAAATTGGTCAAAATGGCCAAAATGGCAATCTTTAAACCCTCATAACTTTACAAAAACTAATCACAGGACAAATATATCTTTTCAAATTTAAGTTCAGGACAACAATACGTTTTGAATGATAAAAAAAAATCCGTCGAAAATGGCTAGTTTAAAAAGCTAAATTTGTCTGAAGAAAAAAAAACCACCCCGAGCACAAATATTCCGTTACTTTCGTGCCTCGCCAGTATAATTTTCAGCAAAGTCCAAAAAGCAGCTCTTTCAAAATCAAGAAGATTATGATTATGTGTAGAGCTATCTGTGACTTTTTGTTATGTGTACCTACGTTTATTTTGAATCAATGTGTGAGTGCAAAGCGGATAAATTCCTGTCAATTAAAGTGAATGCGATGTGCAACTGGAATACTCAAGTTCTAAAGTGCCTACGCAAAACTAAACATCTCGTTGCACATGAAAAGAGCAGATTTTGTGTCGGTTGCCAATTATTGTCACTTTTTCCGGAGTTTTTTACCCTGTTGGAAAGACATATAAGCTCTCGTGTTGCTTGAGGATGTCGAAATTTCTGTCAATAGTGGAAGGGGCAAAAGTTCTTTGAATTACTTCTGGTTGGTTACGGGCTCTAGTCTTTGAAAACTGACACGAAACTGCCAATCGAACAGTTTGCTCGTCAACAGCTGACTTTATCTTTGTTGCTATGATGCTGGTGTATGCAGGAATTTGGAGCTCTGGTACGTTTTCGGATAAACATTCTTATACAACCAATCATCCCACAAAAGTTTCACGAAATTGCTCGATCCTCTCAGTAACATGCATTTCTTTTTGGGTATTTGCCTCATTTTTCACATATGCGAGCTCAATATTGTACATATCTAACGAGGATTGCCGTTTTTTTCGATCGCATGACCCTTAAATGCATTTTAGCGCTTTTGTTGTGATAAGCTTCATGTATGGTAGTCCATCGTGCATTAGTTTACACAAGTTTCAAAAAGAATGATTTTTTTCGCGTTTTCTTTGTTATATGGTAAAAACTGCGGATTAAATGTTAATTTAGCTTGATGGTCCAAAAGTTTAATCAAGTCTATTAAGTGCTCAGCTTTCTATCGAGACTAAAATTGAATCTAGATGACAGTAACCAAAAGAAGTAGAAAAAACTTTTAAATGTCCTTAAACTAGATGTGATAAAAGAGAAAACTTAGTTCGGGATAAAAATTCATGCAGTAGTTAGGCATAAACTAGAATGACATATGGTAGAATGGGATAACCTATACTGTCCTGCTACCAATTCGTCGAGTCTATACAGTTCTCGATGACACTTTGAGCGCAATAGCTAGTTTTTTTTACAAATACATATATAAAAATTGGCCCAAATACGCTGTCATATCTGTCCAATTGGCCAAATCTGCGGACACAACCTGGCAGCTACAATTTTACATGCCAAATTAACAGTTTTCTCATCATCGGCGGACTGTAAATTTGTCTCAGTGATGCTGATGTATGCAGGATTTTCGATTTCTATTGCATTTTTTGATAAATTTTCTTGCAACCGATCATCCCAGAAAAGTTTCATGAAAATGCTCGTTCATCTGCGATACATGCCGGTCATCTTGACATTTGCGTCTCTTCACACTTATGCGAGCTCCATTTTGAACACCGCCATTGAGCATTCTTTTTTTTTCTGATCGATTGACCCTTAAATGCAAATATTTACGGCTTTTGTTGTGAAAACCTTCACGTAGGGTAGGTCATTGTCTATCAGTTTGCTTGAAATAAATAGAAACATTTTTTCTCGTTTTTGTGTGATATAGCCAAAATTGCAGATTAATTGTGAATTGAGCAAAACAATTAAAAATCTTAGTCAAGTCTATTAAGTGCTAAACTTAATATCGAGACGAGAATTGAATCTAGATGACAGGAACCAAAAGAAGTAAATTATTTTAAATATGTCCCTTAAACTAGATGTGATAACGAGAAAAATTAAATTGGGATAACATATCATGCGGTAGTTAGGCATGAGGTAGAATGACATATAGTAGAATGGGATGGCCTATTTTGTCCTACTACCAATTTGCCGCCTCTATACAGTTCTCGATGACACTTTCTAACACAATGGATAATTTTTTTACAAAACCAAACATAAAAATTGGCCCAAATATGTGGTCAATTCTGCCCAATTGGCCAACTTTGTGGTTACATTTATGCAGTTACGATTTTACGGTTACAACACTTTGATTTCCGTCTCCAATATTTCATGATTTGTTGAAAATTTTTAAGATTGAGAATTATGGTTTCTATGGTCGAAATCAGTCTGAATAAAAAACAACGAAGAGAAAAATTGTTCAATTTTCTTCAAAATGGGAACAAGAATGCAATGCAATATTCCGTGCTTAAATTTTTTTTTAATTTTTTTGTAGTTTGCATGTCAACAACATCAATCCCGAAAAAAAACCCGAAGATAAAATCGGCGTTTGAATTCGACTCACAGAAAAATAAAGTTTTAAGATATTCAACGAAATAATAATTACTTCTTATTGAATATCCTTTGTCATCCACTTTGTCGCTCAAAATTGTTGAATATCTGCAACAATGTAACACTTTTTGGTGCTTCATAAGTATTAATACCCGCACTGATAAAAATGGTTTCGCATCGATTTAAATTGATTTTAAATTGATTCTAAAACAATCCAAAGCAATTAATAATGTATATTTTACGTAATTAAATGGATTTTAAATCGATTTATATCCATCTCTTTTTTAAACTTTGGGTCAATTTAAGTGTCTTAAAAATCAATTTTATTCAATTTGGATGAATTTTCAGACTCATTAAAATCAGTTTTTTTTGCTAAAACGGCAAAAAAATAACATACTTTTTAGAAAAATTAATTAAAATATTTTATTTTCGATTTTTTAACGTGCCAGTTGATAACGTACCAGTTGATAAAGAAAATCATTGTTACTCAGACTAGGGGAAAAACTCTATGTAGCATACAAAGATAGGGTCAGAAAAAATTGAATTTTGATCTGAATATTATGCAATTAAATCATAGAAAATCATGAATGATAATCAGATTTTGAGCAAAAACTTATGAAAGGAATCGAGAAACAGGTCAATATAGATCAGTTTTTGAATGCAAAATGTGCAAGGAAATTATAGTTTTTTATCGATATTTGCTCTTTTTATGCTACAATACGCTATGGATGTTGTAAAATGAAAATTGAAAGGCAAAAAATAAATGCAAAACAAAACTCAAAACTGGTGAATTTTTTTTTGAAAAAAATCGACCCAAATCAATTTCAGTTCGTTTTAATCCCCTTGAAGATAAAAACAATTTAAGACTGGAAAAAATGGATTCAAATTGATTTAAAATCGAGTTGAATTAATTTTTGTAGCTGGTGTTTAAGATCAATTTAAATCAATTTTAAAGCAATTCAAATTAGTCTTTATCTTTTTTATTTAATTTTGTACTTTTTTCATAGTAAAATTGATCTAAGTTCATTCAACAT